GTCCTTCTCTTTGTCCATGTGTGCGGGACTTGTGCCCCCTGTTGGGTGATGTTTGGCGGTTTCCTTCCTGTTTTGTAAACCTATTCGCCTGTTGGCTGTGTGCAAGTGGGTCGATAGGACACACGGGGGGTAGGGGCAGCCTACGGTCGACCAACATCCACGTGGGCGACCTTGCACGAAAGAGGTTCTGATTCGGGGGAGTTGTAATGGAATCCTCATTGTCTTTTCTTGTGGTTGTCAAACCAGGATTGGGATTTTTCCGGTTTTTTTTTTGTGTTTTTTTTCTTTTTTCTTCTGACAATAATGTTCTGTTGCCCCCTGTTTTGTTTCGTTTTCCTGTGCCGTTCGTCTAATCTTTGCGTCATCGCCTTTTTGCTGTTGTGGTTGGGTCGATATGTCAGACGGGGGGTACGGCCGTTGAGGATCGATAGAGTGGCTGGATATGTTTGGCCGAAGGGAAGTCAAAATTACAGATTTGTATATATATGTTATTGGGCATCCTGGTTGGTTGTTTGCCGTAATATGTCAGATGGGGGTGGGGGCAGCCGCCGCTCAACGTACATCCACGTGGCCGGCCTTGTAGACGAAGAGGTTATGAAAAGGGGGAAGTTAGAAGGAAGAGGGGAAAAAAAAAAAAAAAAAAACAGACAATTGTTTTCCGTGTCTCTCTTCTTTATCGCACTTGCGCTCCGAAATTTATGTGAACATATACATACACATCACACACAAATATATATATACATATACATATATATATACCGGGCAGTTCTATTTGACGATGTATATATATATATATATATATATATACATGGCCATGTGGGATGCACCTGCGAGACTTGATGTCGTGTTTCTTGAACCTGTGAAACTTTTGCAGATTCTCGGCATGTTCGAGAAAACGTGTCCTCAACACGGGAAAGAGGTGGAGGTGACGATAGAGAATATATCATATCCTTGTCACATTTGCAAGTTGCAATTCGCGTGTGGGAAATGGTGCACTTGGCAATGGAATTCCGCGAAGGTTGTCAAAGGTGGTGTGAGAGATTCGAGGGTGGAGACACAGTTGTTCCCCTCCACTGTGGCTGCGGGGATGACACACACCCAACTGAACAACCTCTTGATGGGCCTCGGAATGAAGAAGGTCAGCAAAGAAACATTCTACAATTTTTTCCATGATGAAGGCAAAGGTTCGAGACAGTGGCTGCGACACGTGGAACGAGTTACACAAATGAGCTTCAACAAGGTCATCACACGTTTGTGCAGATCTAACGATCCGGTTGTCGTATTGGTCGACGACCGTTACGACTCGTCCCGTGACGCGCAACATTGTACGGTGACGGCGCTGGCCTTGAAGTCTGGGATGATCGTGGGTACGGAGACGATGCTGAGGGGGGGCGAGTCGTCGTGGAGGCTGGAAACCAGTGCGCGGAGAAGCTCCTTCATCGATTGAAGGACGAACATAACCTCATAATCGCTGAGGTTGTGCATGGCGATTGTGGTGCGGTTGACGTCATCCTGCGATGAATGAACATTGACTCGCAGAAGTGTATGTGGCACAAAGTCAAGACTTTGGTGAAACGCTTGCGAGAGGCAGTGCGTGCCACGAAGACTGTCAAGCCATCTGTGGTGGGCGCTTGCGAGCACGTTCGCGAGGTGAGGTGTTTCACAAAGAAGGAGCTCGAAGCGTGGCTCGAGACGAAGGGTGTGCGCGTGCCTGGGGCTGCCACGAAAAAGAAGGACGAGCTTATGAAGATAGTGTGGGGTGTGTTGTTTCCCAACGAAGCAGGGAAGCCGTTGGAAGATAACATTGTCGAGATCGACGCGTTGGAGGGCTTGCATTGGAATGCGGCGGAGGAGGCGAAGGAATGGTTGTACGGTGCTTGCCAGATGCGCGAACGGGTGCGGGATGACAACGAAGATATGTTGGCCTCACATGTGCAACACCTGACCGATCATTGGGCTGGGGATCACTCGATGTGCGGCAAGGAGTTGTCGAACCTGTGCAAGCCGGCTGGCGGTTCAGAGAGAGAGTCATTGTATGAGGCTGGGGGTCGGGTTCATGCTGCCGTTTCTCGATGTTTACAGCAGTTCGCTTCCAACACGAAGATGGCATACTACACACGTGCGAGAATGACGTTCAACAACGAATGCTTCCACTCTGTGATCAACAAGTACTGCACGAAACGATTGAACTTCCCAAAGTTGTATGAGGCGCGGGTTTGTTGCACGACACTGGAATGGAACAAGAACAAACGAATCAGGCCATCGCACACTACATTCCACAAACCCACGAACGTCACCCATCGGCGACGCTCCGTAAGACGTCACGTTTACCCCGGTCGCGACACATCGTGGCGATTCGACATTGCAATTGAAGTTATTGGGAGTCCTCGGGTCGGTGACTGGGCCCGTAACATGTTGCATCAATCAGACGTCGACGACCCGATTGTTGAGCATGTTGTTGTTGATGCTGATTTCGGACTGCTGGTTGCTGGTGAGTGCGTACCCCGGGGTGACGAAGGTCAAGGTGCGGACATTTTGTTCGAGTCTACGAGCGACGATGACTCGGATGATGAGAAGTCGCCATCGGATTCCGGATGCGAGGGTGCTGCTCAGCGCCTCGACTTTGACGGCGTCGTGCTATCGCACGAGGTGTCTGTTGTGCGGGAGTGATAGCGACCGATAGTCTGTTGTGCGGGAGTGAGAGCGGCATTTGGTCGGGGAATGACATTGTAGTCATGTGCAATTTGTAGAGTCATTATACATAATTTATTTCAGGAGTTGCATTTTTCGAGTTCCATTTTGTTCAAAGCGGCATTCCGTATTTCCGAAGTTGCTTTTGGTTCTGGAATGACATTGTCGTAATGTGCAATTTGTAGAGTCATTGGACAGAAAATGAGTTTCGTTACATTGTCTGGAATGACATTGTCGTAATGTGCAATTTGCAGAGTCATTGGGCAAAAAATGAGTTTCGTATGTGCCCCCTTGACGAAATTGATACATGCAAAACAATATGAACGTCAGAGGAAGTCTCTCTCTCTCTCTCTCTCTCTCTCTCTCTCTCTCTCTCTCTCTCTCTCTCTCTCTCTCTCTCTCTCGAATTCCCTATACCCCGCAAACGAGTTCCACGCTGCGGCCAGTCGGTCATCTCGAACGAGCGTCTGCAGGAACTCATCCATCCTGTCGTCGTCGCGGCCGTATGTCACTGCAGTCAATGCCGAATCTCACACGATGGAATGAACTTGGCCAAGAAATCCTCGTCATTGCAAACAAAATATGGCGCAGTTACAACAAGTCGCCACACACCGTCCCGATATACAGTGCCGTAGTGTGTTTCTAATATACGATACACAAGTGGGAAGACAATATCATACATTTTATCTCCTTCGACAAGACTGAGAATGAGGCTATCGAAGTACGTCGTGGGCCTGGACATGAGCACCCGAATGTGGTCGATGGCATGATGATGAATGTAAGTCTCTGTTGTTAGTCTTATGACTCGTTCGTCTTCGACGGCGACAACAAAATGCCGATCCTCGATTTTGTGTCTGTCTTTGTACTCCAACATCTCTTCGACAGGCTCTGTAACCGAATTTTGCGACTCGTAATAATAAACGTTCTCCCCCGTGCGGAGTTTCGTGGAATGGTAGCATTGGAAAATCATTGGCGCCAACCGCATAATCGTTGCTTGCGAATTGGGAGTCGATGAAGCTGCCAAAAACACAAAGCTTCACCATAAGCAACAGAGCAACGGATTTGCATAATGCAATGTGAGAAACACAAGGTGTGTCTTCTTCTTCGATCAGCACATCTTTTTTTTTTTTTTTTTTTTCCTTCTTCTTCTTCTTCTTCTTCTTCTTCTTCTCGCGTCTCGTGATTCTGCCTGTGTGTGTGTGTGTGTGTGTATGTGTGTGTGTGTGTGTGTGTGTGTGTGTGTGTGTGTGTGTGTGTTTGTGTGTGTGTGTGTGGGTGTGGGTGTGGGTCGACAAAAAAACGAGGTGTGAATGTCGCTCCCGTTTCCACTGAATAGTCTATACATATTTGTCGCACGCACACACACGCAGCTGGCAGACGACGTACGATAATAACAAATATATATATATATATATATATATATATATATATATATATTTATATAGTCACATCATATGCATTTGCGAGAGAGAGAGAGAGAGAGAGAGGAGAGAGAGAGAGAGAGAGAGAGAGAGAGAGAGAGAGAGAGAGAGAGAGAGAGAGAGAGAGAGAGAGAGAGA